GGCCCTAACGGCGGCCCATATGAATCATGTGACATAGCGAGGTCACTGCATGCGATATATACGAAAGTGATAATATTTTTGACATGCAGGAACTAGTACTTTCTATGTTGCTGGGTATTTTTCACGCATTATTTTTTTGTCATCATGACAGGCATTGTTGTCTTTTACAGAAACAAGCATAGAGTTATTAACTTGTGGTTTATATGGCACACATGTGTCACAGTACATAGGTACTAGAATACTCGTTTCTTTAGTCGAATCCTAGCTGTAAACAATTATACTATGGCGACGAGCTGTATACATCTGTTTTTCGTCGGCGTGATGATCCTGTGCATCAACCCCGGTAAGTTACTTATGGATGCATAGGATGTACATGTTATATTATAGTATTAATGACTGCTTTGAGAGAAATAGTTGTTTTATACGCTCAAGGGGAGGCGTGCTGAGGGCAATAGCCCAATTGTAACCTTCCCGAGAGCGTATAAAAAACAATTATTTCTCGAATATTAAAGCAGTCGTTAATACTTTTATATGCCGAAAAAAGAGTCAAATTATGACACCACCTTGACCTTTCTCTAGTTTATCTGCACGGTTGTTTTTTATGAGTGTATCTTTGAGAGTTAGATTAGATGCTAGTCTAAGCAAGATATTTTTAAAATTTTGGGAGTGGGCCCCTGTGGAGAATAGGGAGAAAATCCTGCTCTTTTATATGAAATCTCACTTGTTGAGTATTACCTTCAGGATCACGAGCAATATTGGTTTGAATCACATTTTGATAATTAAAACATCGACCAATTTGGCATGAGTGCGCAATGCACATGGACTGCATAGGGATGTGTGCAATCTCTTTGGGAAGGATTTTAGCACACAAACTGAATGCGCGATCAGACACCCTACTATTTTAATTTCAATATTTGTATGGAGAATTTCACGTACCCTTTTGGTGTTCTTGCTGTCAGCAGAATTAATCAAGTCTTGCAATTGATCATCATCAAGAAGTTGAAATCTAGAACGAGTTTCTTCAGCCATTTTTACCTCGTTTGGAAACTATAAGTAGAATCTAGGCCGGATTTTGTAGAACGATCGACATTAAAACAAAAGAAAAAAAATTAGGCTAGCGACCAATTGCTAGTGACCAATTCGCACACACACAATGTATGGTATCCGCGCTTGCTTAAACAAGATTTGAACACGTTAACCAATGGGTATTTCAGCAAGACTGAACTTTTTCCCGGTAACTGGATTTTTGCCGGGATTTTACCGAATTACTCTAAAACTATTACATGGGTTTGGCATTTTCGTTTATTTACGGAAATGGCTAAAACCATGACTGCAATTTCGACCAATAATATGGCTGGATTTCTTAAGTGAGGTATATATAATATAATTTAATACCGAGCACTCACTGGAGGAAAAAAAAACTGAATCCTCATTTAATTTCACGTGGCACTAAATGGCGGAAAGGGGGATGACACAAGAAAAAAAAAAAAAAAACCAAAAAGAGAAGACGAATAATAGAAGGGGAGGGGACTTCAGCCCTCTTCTTCCTCCCTATGCACCATCTTTTCTTCCATTTATGGCCGGAGGGGGGGGGGGGTATGCCCCCATGCAACTCCTAGGCTACATCATAAGCATGATACTTGATGTGCATATAGCCCCGTTCGTGATTTGCTTTTAAGAAAGACAGGAAAAAGGGCGAATAATTAAACAATAGTATCTCATGTCATATTTAATACACAGGTTTATGAAGTTAATGATGCCAGGTCATGGACGATAGCATTTTAAGTGAGTGGCTCGGGGGGAAAATGTCAGAGGCAAACATCTCAGAAGTTAAATGTCAGAGGTTAAAATATCAGAGGTATAAATATCAGAGGTAAAAATGTCAGAGGTAAACATGTCAGGGGTGAAAATGTCAGAGGTCATAATGTCAGAGGTAAACATGTCATAGGTCATAATGTCAGGGGTAAACATGTCAGAGGTCATAATGTCAGGGGTAAACATGTCAGGGGTCATAATGTCAGGGGTAAACATGTCAGGGGTCATAATGTCAGAGGTTAAAATATTAAAATAAAAGCATTTTACAGGTTGAATATTGGTAATGGTTGTATATTATTCTTATCGAAAAGAATGACGAAGGATTCTCTGCAGTCATTATTTCAGTGCTGCTTTTTGCTGTTTTTGTTTTAACTTGTTTTAAACTTTCGGCCCGAAATTGTGACTATTGCCCGAGGGGGGATTCTTCTTCCCCCGGCTTGTACGCCAAGGTCATGAATTACGGAGTACATCTTCCGAGCCTCACAAAGCACATACAATATTCATTTCTCTTGCTCCTTCTTGCCTTATTTTGGACCCAAATACTACCATAAACATTTTTTTAAGCTCATCTTCTTCTTTAAAACGCATGGTCGGATTTTAGCCAAACTTGGCAGGCGGGAATCATCCTTAGCAGTAGGTGATCTAAAGTTATTCAAATGGTAAACGTGGCCCCCATGGAGGTCCAAACTATGTGAATTTTAAACATCTGCTCCAGATTCAGCAGTAAAGGTTAAAGGTGTTCATAATAGGGCCTCTGAGGGGGGGGGGGGTATTCAGTTTGGGAGGGTGATGCCTATGCACACAGTCTGCCCCGCGAATACACACACACACACAACAGCAGTCAGTTGGTAGAAATAACAATTTTTAGTGAATTCTTTTAAAAAAAACTAAACAATATTTTTAAATTTTTATTTCACATATATTTCAAACCTACCTTGAATTACAATTTTGTGTAGTTTCATTGTTATAGGCATGTGGAAAATATTTAAAATGATTTAATTAGAATATTGTCTTTTCAGCCATTGTGTGACATGGCCTGCTGATCGCCCATTGACTCGCGCTGCTATTCTGCGTGGTGAAAATGGGCCGTATGCATAAAAAGTAGCAATTGCTTGCAAGCAATTGCTTCAAGCACAAGCAATTGCTTGTCAAGCAAAAGATCAAGCTCAAGCAATTGCTTAAATCCGTATGCATAACATTTTGCTTGTGCTCAAACCTTTTGCTTGCCTCCAGCAAGCAATTGCTTACGATCTCAACAATAGCGACGTCACGCCGGTGCGAACATCATTCATGGGAGAACAAAGGCGGGTTTCGCATACTAGTAGTGTATTCAAATGTCATGCGTGTGGGGTAGCCTTTCCTGTCAGACATCCTCCCCGTTTTTCATCATGTTCAGGTATGAACCTGTGTGCTAACCACTCAACGTTCTCTTTGTCGAAACGGAATAGTTTCCGATAGGTCTCGGGAGCAATTTCTTCTCGATTTATTCTACTCCTGTACAACTTAGGTTTTTCTCTAACGAGCATAAACATGATGCTTAACCGCGAACGTCCCGATTAAGCAAGAGCTCAAGCTGCTATGACGGAGCTTGAAAAAACGTAAGCAATTGCTTATAAGAACAAGCAAAAGGTTCGTTTTATGTATACGTTTTTAAGCAATTGCTTGCGGACATCAAGCAATTGCTTGTGCTTGCTAGCAAAAGCATTTGCTTGCAAGCAATTGCTTATGTTTATGCATACGGATTCAAGTAAAAGGCTAGCACAAGCAATTGCTACTTTTTATGCATACGGCCCATTGAATCTATTTGTTGTTTACACTGAAGGCAGCCACAACAGCACTGTACTTGGGTCACCAAACTTTTTTTTACTCCGAAATTCAGACCCTGTGGAATATTTTTGCCTGTTGAATGGCTTCTTGGAAAATCGTCATAAATTCTCCAATCTGATAATGCTTAAAAAGAAAAATATACTGTGATGTAGCTAAAAGTCTGCAATTTTTTATTATTTGATCGGTTTTTTTGACTAATTTGTAAAACACATGAGGAAATAGCTGTGACGGTGATCCAAGTAATTTTCATCGCCATAATATGTTATTGGCATTGCAAAAATATTTGAAATTTAATGTTAATATTTGGTGTTAATATGATCTATAAATATATGATGAAAAGATTGCCAACAAAATGAGCAGTTTGACTTTCCTATATATATATTATTAGCTGAAATGACCTAATTTGCATATAATTATGATGAATATTCATGATTTTTTCTTCTTCAAATAAAATATATTTCCATACCTGTCTGATATACGTAGGTTTCATTGATGTATCATGTTCGGTTTCGATTTTATTACATATCCGCATATTAACTAGGCGGACATAGTTATTTTCACAACTTTTTCATATCTGCAGATTTGCAAAAATGGCAAAAATGACTTATTTTGTTGGCTTCTGTTTTCAAAACGGTAATAGATATATGTTTGTTTTTTTGTTTTTTTTTTAACACAAAGATGATATTTTAGTGTCTGATAATTTAATTGATTATTTGTGTCCGAGAAAATGATGAATTAAGTTGTTAACTATGTCGAAATTTGCCATTTTTGCCAATTTGACCATTTTTGGCAGGTTTTTCGGTAATTTTGCGATTTCCTAAAAAATGGTATAAAATCACAACGCATTGACCGATTTCAATTCTGTTTTTTGTTTTTTGAAGCTTTCATGAATCTTGATCATTTGCAATCATCAAATAACATGTGTTTGTTGTACTTATCTTTTGGTGCGATATACCTATTAAAAGTAACGGTTCTATATTTTCCAAAACGCATGTTTGGATTTTAATAAAACTTGGCAATATTCATTCTTTGACATTATTACCTCTGACACTGACGTCATTACCTTTTACATTTTTACCTGTATACATATACAGGTACACAAAATGAAGAGTTTAACAGGAGTCATTGCTAATGGCACACTAGCATAATTTGAGCAGCTTTAGAAAAGAGCTAGCTGTATGCCGGGCTTAAAATTCGAATTTATCTGTTTACCGCTTCACATCTAGCCGAGATTTTAGTTACAATGAGATTGATCTGTCAGTTTCTTTTGGTCAAATATCTGTGGAAACCGTTGTTGTCTTTATACAGGTGTTTCTGGAGATGTACCAGACGATGTCGTGTACACTGATTTACACAAAATGGTACACAAGGGAGATAGCGTTGTACTGACATGTCGATTTCGTGGGACACCTTTAGCTGTCTATTGGAAGAAAGGAGATGACCCCAAAACAGCACCAAACCTTGTATCATGGATTCCAACCGATGATGTGACAGGATTATGTGAAGGTGAAAGGCCATGTCAGATCATGGAGATGAATGAAAATCACTCCTTGGTCATCAAAGAAGTCAGCATAGCAGACCAAGGACGATACATCTGTAGAGTAACAGTCAGGGGGATACTGATACACAACTTCACGGACATCAGTGTATTTTGTGAGTAAGGCGTTGATCCCGCCGAACCTTACATGATCCTCCTACGATGATTATAAATAGACACATACATCTCCTTGTTTATGTTCTGAATAATGATAAGACTATTAACAACCGAAAATTCGGTGCATTTAACTCTTCCAGTCAGAATAAAAGCCGAGCGTCCTGAAATCGTGGACAAACACACTACTGGTCTGAAGCACTGCGATTCTAAGCCGAACTAGCTTTTTCTCCTCAAAAGAATCTTGAAATCCCTTGATTTCAGAGGCTATAAGTAATGTTACTATTGTGATCCTCAATCATACTTTTACAAGTGTTTACAAATATTTATATAAAATTCTTTTTCTTTTTCTTTCTTCAATATCGTACCGTAGTCAGGTCGTGTAGTGTGTACCGGGCTTTAGACTTACTTTTCTATAATATAACTTTCAAGTTCATGACACAAATATGTTAGTCATAAAGCCTGATAAATGACCATATGTAGATCCAGTGCACATAAATCGGCCGCACCTTTCATTCAATCCTACATCTAACCTTGTATACAACATAACGTATATTCCTTTGCGTAATCACTACGCTCCCTCGCGCGTTTATTGTAAGCTATATTAATCTATGGTTTATTAGGTTTATACGTTTAAGGTCATTAACAAAAAAATGAAGAAACAACAGGGGAAAAAAAAGGGACCCAGAAAGGCCTCTGTCGATGTTTTCAGATTCCTTGCATGCGAAGTTGTAAAAATCAAATTAAAGGGCCACTCTAACCCAACTAACATAGCCTTTCAAAACACGAATACACCTCTATTTATTAATATTCCAGCCTCTGATTTTTCAGAAAATCTCTAAATTGACCCAAAACGTTAATAGCCAACCATTTTCACAGTTCTCACGCTTGCTGGGCTACGCCCCTCGAAGGAATGTAATACGGTTACGTGGCTTGATGACGCATTTGACGTCATTCCGAGCATGTCCGATTTGATAATTTGATAATTTTATAATAAGGAATTACGAAATTGCCAAAAAGTTACTTGGATTATCAAGTGCATATTATTTTTCGGATAAATGTCTTTTTCCCCCAATTAATATCATAGTTTGCCTTTTAAAATATATTTCAATGCATAAATCACCATCCTTTTCACCGGAGAGGCGCCAGCAGAGACGTAAAATGCGTCATCACCGAAACTTTGCTTTTTTCTTCGCGTTCTGAGTCATCATTTTTAAAGCTAGATTCCAGAATTATTGATGGTTTCTAAGAAAAATCATTGTCATGTTCGGAATCTCCGTCAAAAATGATTCCACATGTCTTTTCCCCATTTTTTTCCCCGTTTTAGTTAGAGTGGCCCTTTAACAATTGCTGCAGATATCTCTTTGGCAAATATTTCTTGTTTTTAGTTCTTTTTTTTTCTCATAGAAAACAAATAATTATCAACATTGTTTTGTTATTATATTTTAGCCCCTCCTATGGATCCCTTCCCAATCATCAATGAATGTCAAGTGGTGTCTCCAAACAACACTGAAACTACCTGTGTTATTTCAACGAGCCATTCACTAAAGATAAGCTGCTCTGCTTCAGGTTACTATCCAGATATCGACCTGTACTTTATACATGGATCCACAAGTTTCCACCCGAAAGACACGATTGAAGTTACAAATCTTGACGGGACGAGAAACAAAACCATATCCGCCATCGCTACAGCCAGTGAAATCAGCTATATTTGTATCGCGTCTGAGATTCCTGGATCACAAGAGCAGAGGACAACAACTGTTTTAGTAAACTTACCAGAAACCCCTTTCCCCATGCCTACTGGAACCACAATTCCGATTAAAAAGACAGTTGGAAGTAAAACTAAAGTAGGTAAGAACCTATTAAGTCTTCCTTTTCATTAATTCAACAATTTTAGAAATAACAGAAAAAGGGAATATGATTCATATTGGACGCTAAAGAAGATTTTTTTTTATTTGAAAGAGGTGTTATATAATGTTTAAACACTGTTTAAGAAAGTACATGACACTAAAGATATTTCATTTTGAACATCAGGCTTTACAAATATTCATGTAAGGATAAAAAGGCGAGAAGTTCATGTTCCTTTACAATCGATTTTTGTTCTCGTTCAATCGCAGTTGTACCAGTTATCTTAGTCATTGCTATATTGGCTGCGATTTGTCCTGCCATCATCATATTCTGGCGTCGGAGGGAAAAACGGGGGAATCAAGGTATGTTTATATATATGGCTCATAATAATAATAATATTTTTTTTTTGTATATAGCGCTATTAAAAATGTCTCTAAGCGCTTTACAAATATACTATTACCCCGGTAATCGATATTGCAAATAAAATATATTAGCTCCTAGCAAACACGAATGGAAAGTATTCCCTTCTTTATAGAGTAATATTTTCAAATTTTGCAATGAATACAATTCCATTGAATTTGACGATGAAGCTCAAATGTAATCTGACTTTAAATGAAACAACTGACGAAAAATATCATTTCAAAATGTTCTGGGGGTAATATCAATATAATCATTCAAATTCCCTAATCAAAAGACCAGACATAAATGGAGTACTGTAAACTATATACCACTAATAAAAAACTAGAAACACCAAAGAGAAATGTCTTCAAGTTCTGTCATATCAGGACATCGCACAAGGCAAAAGAAAAGTACAGGAATTATAAATTCTGTTATACTACGACAAATAATAATGATAACAAGATGAATCATTTGTATACGCATACTATTGTACTTGCAATGCCCTTTTCATGGATTACGATACAATGAGTGGGACGCCCCCGAAGAAAAGACAGTTGACCGTAAGATTCAATTGGAATTTCTCAGGTTGTATTCCTCTAAAACGTTATCCTTTCAGGAAATGACGACCGGGAATCCATGTCAATACGTCCAGACCGACATATAAATGGTGACTCCTTATATTTTTCTATCATAAACAAAATTAAGAATATAATTGCTTTCTCGCATATACTCACACAAACACTTAACAAAAAAAAAAAGTTTTATTCTTCCAATAGTGTAATACAAACATACAATAAAATAAAAACATTTTTAATATTGATTGATTATACATAAACAAAAACATAATTAAACAACAACTCATATGCAGTATATATTTAACTGAGCTAAAATTGAAAGTAGGTTAAACTTAAAGTACATAAACATAATTTATAAGTCAATTGTACACATTATTTACTTATAATATCAAAGTAACAAAATCATTTTTTTTTATAAAACTAGAGGTCATTTTACTGGTTCTCCCAAATCCCCCTCCCTCACACAAACACACACACCCACAAAACACAATACATTCATACACACAAGCATACAAAACACACGCCCCACAAAAACATCTTATCACACACCACAACAAAAGTTGCCACGCTGTGAACATTTGCACCGTCTTATTTTCCATGAGCCCCCCCCCCCATTCCCCCGTCCCCTAACCCTCCCTTCGACCCTCATAGTCCCTAAGTACAATGAGTACCATCACCCCATGTCAATGAATGTTTTTTATAATTATATTGTTTTAATTTATAATGATTTGTTTGTATATCTTTTGATGTATTTTTAAAGAGATGTGAAATAAAATTAAATACTTGAATTGTCTTACTTTGTACATGTACATGTATGTATAATATACTGATGTTTTAGGCCCCTAACATGAATGCAATTAGGTACAGGCAACCAAATCACATGAACTTTCCCTTCGACCCTCACAGTCCCTAAGTACAAACGTTTGATAGGTCACATTCCCTGATTGTGAACCTCGTATACATATGCCGAATATGGAATGCAGTTGATATTAATACTTTTTTTTACATGCAAAAAACTAGCAATTTCAAAAATAAGACTATTCTGTAGCTAAAATCCACAAACACATTGCACAAGTTTCCAGAAATACAGCTGTAATTGTTTACAATTGTCCTATAAAAGTCAATACAAGCATGGTAAAAAGATTAAAATAGGTACATTTTAAACAGCCTGCTTGGGGAAGGAGACAAGCACTTAGTATACCTACAATAACGATAAAAGTACAAAATAAAACAATTTTTTTTCCAACTTTTATTGAGTATGTCAACTAAAAATGACAGTGGGCTATTTTTAAATATTTTTGTTTTGAATTGAAATTGTTGATAAATGGGAATACGGCGAAGAGTGATATTAGTGTTTTTTTTCTTAGGTAACCAGGTCTGACAAATAGATTGATTTGAAAGGGATTTTGCGAATTTTCTACAAAGTGCTAGTCTCCTCTCCTCAAGAGTTGGTAAATTGCGTACTTGACATGCATTAGAATAGGTAATGTAACTAGGCCCTAAAATAATCTTACATACTCTACGTTGTATTTTTTCAAGATCATTATTTTGTTCTACTGTAAGACTGCTATGGAACGCTGGAGCACAATATTCTAAAATTGGTCAAGTTTACACCTAGAAAATTGCTAATTATTTTAAAAGTTATCTACGAACAGTACATTATTATTCATCTTATGAAAGAGTGTTTCATCCCAAATCACGTGGTATCATTTTTGTGTGGTATGTGTTAACGCTTGGATAAACAGGAGGCATTGTTTGTGAACGTGCACAAATCGACTTGCGCCAAAGTTGCTTATGTGATGTTTAAATAAAACAATTGGGATTTGGGTTTTAAATCGGATTTTGCAGATCCGAATAACACCCCTAACAAAATTAATCATGCAACACATATCAAATATCGAATATCAAATATCAACGAACATGTGTGCGCGCGTGTGTGTGCGTGTGTGACTTTGCTTCTGCAAAAAGCATATGCAATGCATTTCATTTGATACATTCAATTCATTCTCTCACTCCGCTAATCCCAACATAATACATGCTGTAGGCATCACTTTGGCGCAAGTCAATCTTTGCACTCTCACAAACAATGCCTCCTGTTTATCCAAGCGTGTAAACATAACACACAAAAATGATACCAAATGATTTGGGATAAAACAGTCTTTCATAAGATGTATACTAATTTACTGTTCATAGATTTAAAAAAAAATAATTAGCAATTTTCTAGGTGTAAACTTTTTTTTGACTCACACGGTATAACCTACGTATATTGTCACTAAATCGTTAAACGGTAAATTGAATTTCTTCAGTTTTCTCAACATGTACAGTTTTCTATTGCACGTTTTGACTAAATCATTAACTGTAAATTCCATTTTGAATCAAGAGTTTGAAAGGCCACAGACCCACACACACACGCGCACACACACACAAACACACACACAATTTGTTTGCATGGATTTACACAACGAAGTTCGTTAATATACTGCAGGCTGGCTAGGCTTTGTTTGGGAGATGTATTAACATAGGCGTAAGTCGAATTTCTACGACTTACGCAAAAGACTAGTTGCAGAATGCCTAAATCGACACCTGTTACTAACGCGAGGTGATATACAGTGTCTATAAAAAGTGTCCCCATCTTTGGTAGATCCTTTTTCAAAATAAAGAGTTACTTGTTTCCTGTCCAATGATACCCCATTCATAATATTTCTGCCATTGGTGACTTTAAAAAGTGTTGTCAAATTCGCCTTGTACAAAGTTTTGACTGATGAAACGAACGTGGATCAGGCCATATGCATGCGCTTCTTTGGTCTTAGATCCATTTACACGTTAAATTATGCCCCGTACTTGAGTGCATCATTGTTTAAAATGATGCAATGTATATAGGCTTTTACAGAACTTTGTTTAAATCTGTAAAGGATAACCTTTAATTATTTTGAACAGCCTCCCAAATTCTTGTCTCATGATATCTAAGTTATCTCCGCTCACATGTCCACTTTGCCATTTCACACGCGTAAGGAGCATAAGGTGTTTGCCTCGAATAGCGAATGAAAAATCAAAGGTTACTTAACCAAAATGCAAGAAGAAACACATATGATAATAAGTCTCAAATATATTGAGCGTAGGGTTTCATGAAAAGGATAACACCCCAAATAAACTTGAACCATTTTGTATCACTCAATAAAAAGGGTAACTGAATATACATAGGATGCGAACAAAGTCAAGATTATAATCATCATAACGAAGATAATATTATAAATATTGCTAGAAATAGGTATTTCTTTGAGTTTGAGCTGATATTCACACCTTTTCTTTTCAACTACATAACATTCAATGTAAATAAGTGAGCAATTTTTTTTGGAATGAGATAGCATATAATAGCTTAATAACTTACATTCATTATTTCAGCCGAACCTTCGTACAAAAGGATTTTGACAAAACCTTATGAAAAACGTGCTGCTCAGTCTTCAGTTGAAGCAAATTTATGAATATGGTATTATAGACAGGGTATCAGTTATCCTTAAACATGAAATATGATTCAAGGTCACATACATTATAACTTTTTAATTAGAAGCTACCAAAGTTGAAAAATATAAAATAACATATTTCTCTATTTTTTAAATGTATTATCTGGTATAGCTACAAATAAATACTCAACAATATGTGGGTGATAATATCTCTCAGGGAAAGTATCCTTCTTTGAACTGTGGTTCCTGGTACATGATATTGATGAGAAAAACTTGAAATTTGACTCATATCGACATTATTTCTACTTTGTCTCCGTAACCGGATTTCATAATCAAGATGTTAGATTAAGGGATATATTAAAGGCTACATTTAAATGAATTTATCTTTGACTAAATGTTTATGTAATGATCGCAAAAGTCATTTAGGGTGAAATCTGGGTTTCCTTTCTGTAACTCATGTTGTATACAAGAAATAAATGTTCTATATTTTGTTTATTCACGAATAGGTGATGTGGAGAAAGGAAATGTTGACCCGCCAATGATTATCGAAGGTAATGACACACATTTACGTTTTTCTCATGACAGAGATAACATCGTGCTCATTGAGGAGATCCGAGGTTCGAATCCCGGTCCAGTGTACGTTCACCAAAACAAGACCTATAACCTGCAATTGTTACTCTTGGCCGAGGCTCAATATTTCTTACAATGTTCAATTTTTCTCTCCAGCTTAAGCTTCGAGACAGGTTTCAGGCCAAGTCAAATGTTGTCACAGATACCTTCTCTTTCATGCAATTTGCTAAAATAGTCTACAGCATCATTTTATACCTCTTATGTAACAACAGCCAGAAAGAAAAGGCATATAATTGAACGAGATTGTGCCAACTTACAAAACCATACCGTTCCCGGAAATTAACAGTATAATGCCTAACTTCACTTTGTCAAAGGAAAGATATCGTTCTATGAGCTGTGGTTCCTGATTTTCGGCAAGGATAACGATGATGGATTGGAAAAGATACGTGACACAATCCGCCATTTAGGCATCACTGATGTCGAAGATGGTCTGAATGCAGCGCAGTATTACGACGTTCTCTGTAATTGGAAGGATCACCACAAGCAGGACAGCCAAGCCATGGATCTTCAACGAGCCCTAGCAAAAGCAGATTTAGATAGAGCATGGAAGGAGATATATGGTACGCAAATGGTACGAGGGAGGTGGTCGGGGGTGCGTGGCGGAGGTTTGGGGAGTGTGTGTGTGTGTGTGTGTGTGTGTGGGGGGGGGGTGGAGAATCAAGCCCCCCACAAAAAAGTCGCGAGGGACGTGTAGAAAATGAATGCAAGAACCCCAAAGCCCTCGCCAAGCCCTCCAAGCCCCTACTTCCCATATCAGAATTTTTCTAGAACCGCTACGTTTGTGTGTGTGTGTGTGTATTGGATTTTTACAGACGTGTATCAATCAGATATAATTATTTACGTCTTGGGACCAACCTTTAAACGTCACCACCCGAAAGACGTGACACAGTTTCGAACCTGCGTCCTCGGCTGAATCAGTTTGTAACGTCCACTTTTAGGTGGATTACAGGCGCACGCCATAACGCTACTGCTTCCCCCTTGATTATATCGAAATATGTTCTATTTCCCCCCAAACTGATAATTCTTAATTATATCACCATTTTTGTTTGACATTTAAATACAAAATCTATGGACAATGGACTCCAAGACTGGTAAACGTCTGCCTGTTTAGCTAAACAATAGACGTATAGATCTTGAATGACCACTTTTCATCTGCAGAACGAATTTCTTAATAACATGTGGACCTACTTCATGGCTAATGACATTTCTATAGATGACATATGCTCTAAGAATTATTGTCTGATTATGACACACCTTGCAAAATTAATCAAAATTTGTTCCATGTCTTTATTTTGTAGTGCGTTAGTTTTAGCCCATATTTTTTTTTATTCGAAGTCTTATTGCAAAAGACGAGTGGTAATCCGACAAGAGAATTTAACGGAAAAAAAGGAAATATAGCAGTATTGACATACACTGTCGCTCATAAAGGTGGAATATTTTTTTTTCATCCAAATTCATGGAATTATTTTAAAAATAATTTAAAAATAACAGATCTAGATAATAGTATACATTCTCAGATTTTATTGAACAATAATTTGCCAATGTGTGCTTTGCGTGACTGCTAAAGCATATGTATGCTACTATGCTTATCAACTAGGAGACCTATGCCCTTAAGTCATAAATGACAGTAATGAGGATTAATGCCCCACAAAAAGGCACTAATATAGCACATCGACACGGTTTTGATCCTAGAGCCTCACAATTACGAGGCCATTGCTTTGTCACTGAACCATGACTCTACGCAGCGGGGGCTAGGGTAGGGGGCAGTTTCCATAAATAAGAAAAAAAAAACAGAAAATGCAATAAATTTTCAATAATTTATTGCATTTTACCCCGGTTCCCAACATAAACAAATCTTCTGTGTGCCCATGCCTTGAGCCATAATGCATGGCCGTCCAGAGGATTTTTTTATGTCGGGTTCAGTCATGGTTCAATGACAAAACAATGGCCTCGTAACTGTGAGGCCCCAGGATCAAAACCGTGTCGATGTGCTATATTAGTGCCCTTTTGTGGGGCATTAATCCTCATTACTGTCATTTATGACTTGAGGGCGTAAGTCCCCTAGTTAATAAGCATAGTAGCATACACATGCTTTAGAAGTCCCGCAAAACACACATTAGCAAATTATTGTTCAATAAAATCTGAGAATGTAAACTATATCTAGATCTATTACTTTTAAATAATTTTAAAAATAATTCCATAAATTGGGGTAAAACTAAAATATTCCACCTTTATGAGCGACAGTGTACGATATCTACTTACTTAGATGATAGACAACGTACAGATGCAGAGCTTTCTGAAGACACACTGGAGCACATCCTATGGCAAATTGGAGACCCTGACAGGATAGATAAGTTCTTAGGTGAACTGATACCAGGAAAAAGAATAAGCGTTGCAGGAAAAAAGAAGGACATCGTCGCAGAAGCCTTGAGAGACCTTATCCAATGGTGTAAGGGACCGCCTCAACAGAACCTAAGGGTCTTGTTGAGCCTATCCCTGGAGAGAGCTTCCTACTGCCCTATCGACAGAGATTTCTTTACCGGTATGAATTATTTTACATTGTACATTATGTATCATATATCTCTGTGCCATAGCTTGTAGGCCGGCCGTTGTGGCGACAAGGAAATGGACCTTGAGATCAGTCCTTGTCCTAGTTGGTCTAACCCTCTTTCTGCTTTCAGTTCCTCCTTGCACGATAGTGTTTGCCAAGCTATTCTTCCATCTAGCTACGTGCCCAAACCACTGTAGTTGTCTTTGGTGTTCACGATTGTGATGAGTTGATCACGTTCCTCTACATAACTCGCCATTATCTCACTCACCTTCTTGTTGGGCGTATGTGAAATGATGTGGATATGCATCCTAGAGCAACACGAAATGGCATTGCTTTATCAGGGCAAGACTATGCAGACAATACTTTGCCCCTATCATACAGTTTACACCTAAATCATTCATATCCCTTGTGATTTGTTATTTGTAACTCAAGAATGAACCGTGGACTGGTTAAATTAGTTTTAAATGTAAGATTTATAATATCACATTCTCAATGAACATAAATCGAGACAAATCATTTCTTTCCTCACATACATACAAGATTACCAAACTTAGTAAGGGTATGAATAATTTAGTTGTTGACAATATGTAGCACGAGCGCATTTAGCATCGAAAAATCAAGTTAGGTGTAATCCCAATGCCCTATTAACTGCTATGTAAAAATAATATTTATAGGAATACGTAATATCTCTATTATGTTGGCACATTTCAATTGGTGTTGGAAAAGGCATTCGAATTTAAAATTCGCAAATCTCTATCATTATTTTTGTATGATTTCATCATTTGCAGTTCGATTTTCTTCATCGCTAATATTGTCACTCATGTTATGGATCGACCAACCAATCCCACGCCCCTGCTTTTTCGAGTGTTGCTTGGCACCCCACGCTTCTTCATGTATAATACACATAAATATACTGATGTGATCTATGAATGAAATACAATTGAAGATAACTGCAATGAAATTGAAGATGTTTGACTTATCATCCATTATTGGACCATGTTTTTTAATTGTACATGTAATACTCGTTACTGCATAGTCTTTCCTTGTGCAATGTTCAGTACACTGTTTCTTTTGCAGTACCTGAGGGTTTGCTGGAAGAAATCGGCGATTATGAAGTTATTGGATTCATCCAGCGACTGGCAGGCAAACACTGTAACAATCTGGCTGAATCCATTGGAACGCCCACGGAGGCGCTTAGTGCTATTCTGGTGGAGAATGACAAGGCAACCGTATTCGACACACAGGGAATGATTCGTGACTGGATAAGTAACGAGGAATGCAGCAACTTTGAGAAGAGACACAGGCTTAATGTCGCGGTGACAAAGGTTTGCCGTGAGGATTTGGAAGGTAACAGAGTCGTTCGGATGTTTTTGTTTCGTTTTGATCCGAGAATCATTCATTTTTAAAATGTGGCAAATTATATCGTACACAGATGAACATAATATAATATCCCAATGGAGTAGGCATAGCTGGTGGAAAAAAAATAGGCGATGGAACCTAAATTGCCTAAGTGTTGAATTACTTGATTCAGCAGTTAAAAGCAAATGATGGCTTTGTTCTTTATGTCCATCTTACATGAAAAGCTCCCTTCATGTTATAAGCTTTAAACAACACCAACAGACAGCATCAAGTCACTTGCATAATAGTTTATTTTTCTTTTTGCATGTGTCATCTAAAATACAAATAGTTGTATTAATAAACAAATAAGGTTCTTGTTTTTAAATATATTTTATTTGAACCGAATTGATTTTGAAAGGTTACTTTGGAGCAACGGACCTCTATACTTCAAAAGAGGCAAATGAAGAACGGGCTCGAAAGGATTCAAACGAAGTATCACGAGGTAAATATAATTATAAATGTTAATTTACTGAAATACATGCTTTAAACAACCTGAAAAATACCAACAAATATTAACAAAAGAAAAACACGCCGAAAATGTAGAAGGTGTATAATTTTGACAGCGTTTACCTTTCTGAAAAAACTTTCTAAAAAGAAAAATACATTTTACCCTGTTTTGGTAATTAGTGCACTTTAATACCACTTCGGATCTTTAAAAATATAGAAGACTATTTCAAACAAACAATTGGCGTTTCAGCCCTTGTTAAAACCCTTCATATTCTAATGTAAACATAAGACAGGTACACAAATCCTATTAAAAATGGTTAGAGCTCCCACAACTCACCATTATTTTGTAAAATCCGGATGATTTTCAAACATATATTCACTGGAAGCCTGTATAAAGTACATCTGACTCTTAATAAGATCATAATAAATAGGTACATACATTTGCGATTAATTGTTCTCCCATTTTTATGCCCTTTTCACGTATTCTCATATAGAATATGGTGGAATTTCTGAACTGGAAACTCGTCGAATAGCCAAGTATCTCACAGACTCTGAATTAAAGCACCTGGGTGAAGGGTCGGACCCGGTGAAGGTGGTGATAGAATGGGTCAACAGCTTGCTCGAAAAGAATCTTAACGGAGGCTGTCGGAAAAGGGTACATGGAACACTGAAAGAAATCGGCCTTCAAGGTAATGATTATATTTCGCCTCGTTTTTCGTTTTTGTGATATCAATGTGGTTATATCATCATTTTAAGAGGATCTGAAGTTGTGTATCGGTGTAATCTTCCTGTAAATAATTATTTGTTCTTATTTTACTAAAATACCATTAATTCAAGGCATTTGATGTGAAGCATTTTTGAAATACAAATCAAGTTAAAAAAGGCCATGTGCGAAAGGAGTTGAAATTAAAGCTTTCGTACTAAGTTACGATTCTTTACAAGGCATTATACTGGGTCTTACAAATTATTCACCCTTTTAATGATAATAATAATGGGAATTTATAAAGCTCCATATCTATTTTGTAAAATCGTGTAAAATTAAAAAATGGATGTATTATAGAGGTTAAATCGATGTTGCATTTTTTAATTTTATTTTTAACAGCACTGATGCCATTCCAAATAAAAGACAAGTTATGTCTGGTTGAAGTACTTGACGTTGCTGTTCGTCTTCTCATGACCGACATCCAACCGTTCGCCAAAGCTCTGGGAATATCCGATCAGAAACTCATCAAGTACAGGATAGATGTCACACCTAAACAGCTCTCTAATGGAACACTTACTCTTTTAGCAAAGGATAGCAACAAGATAAATAATGACAGAAGTAAAATCAGCAGTTCACTGTCCAAAGCTGACTACGATGATCTTGCATTGTTGCTGAAGTACGGTGAGTTGTGCGGCTCGTAATCGTTTAGCAGTTTCAAGAGGAAAGGATGCCTTTGGATGCTGATAATGTGACGATACAAAATGATGGTTTGAATGAACCTATCACATTAGAAGAGGTTGAATTAATGGTTAATAAATTGAAAAATGCCAAAGCTTGCGGTAAAGATTTGATCAGAAATGAATTTTTGAAAAGTTGCCCCTTAGAAATGCGTAGGGTTATTGTTGATTTGTTTAATATTGTTTTAGATAGTGAAATCGTTCCCTCTGAATGGTGTATAGGAGTGATTATCCCAATTTTTAAGAATAAAGGTGAAAACACAAATCCAGATAATTATCGTGGAATTACCTTGTTAAGTTGCCTTGGTAAACTGTTTACCTCAGTCTTGAATAAAAGAATTTCTAGCTTTCTTGATAGTAATCGTATGTTAGGTGAGGAACAAGCTGGGTTTCGTTTAACATATTCAACCATTGATCATGTGTTTGTTTTGAAGACTATTATCGATTTTTACCTACAGAAAAGGAAACGCTTATATTGTGCTTTTATAGATTATAAAAAAGCGTTTGATTTAATTGATAGAAAGTTTTTGTGGTTTAAATTGTTAAAAATAGGTGTAAATGGCAAAGTCCTAAATGTTGTTAAAAGCTTGTACAAATGTGCGAAGTCCTGTATTTCTGTCAACGGCGCAATGTCTGAATTTTTCTCGTGTAACGTAGGAGTTAGGCAAGGTGAAAACCTTTCGCCATTGCTGTTTGCTGTTTATTTAAACGACTTTCAAGAGCATATTGCCAAAATTTATCCTGGCTTGAAAATGTTAAATGAAGAAATACAAAATACCTTACAGGGTGACGAATTAGAGCTTTTTTCAAAGTTGTCTTGTTTATTGTACGCTGATGTTAGGAAGATACCAAATTTTACGTATGGTCATGCAAAAATAGATGTGGTATATGATTTTGCTTATCTCGGAGTACTGTTTAATTATAATGGTACTTTCAAAAAGGCAATGGCCAAGCAGATAGTGCAGGCTAGAAAAGCGTTATACAGTATGTTGACTAAAGCGAAGAAATTGCAGTTGTCAGTTGATATTCAATGTCATTTGTTTGACCATTTGATTTTGCCCATCTTATTGTATGGTAGTGAAGTCTGGGGACATGAAGATATAAAGCAGATTGAAGTTTTCCATAGGAAATTCCTCAGAACATTATTATCTGTAGGTTCATATACTCCAGACTGTATGGTTTATGGAGAAACTGGACGAGGTTTGATTTTGAATCATGTGAAGGGTAGAATGGTTAATTTTTGGTTGGTAAAGATAGCAGAGGTAAAGATAGCAAATATTCATATGTCCTTTTAAAATTCATTTCTGCCATTCATAAAGATGAACATTTGGAATTTACTTCCTCATGGTTAAAATTTATTGAAGACACATTTAATCAAGCTGGTCTATCCAATATTTGGCTAGGCCAAAATAGTGGATTTGGCTTAAATATTAATTCTTTGCTAAAACTGAGACTAAATGATATGTTTGGTCAGGAATGGAGAGATGCAGTATGGTCAAATCGCATTTGCACAAATTATAGGATATTTAAAGGCAACCATATATTTGAAAGCTATTTACTCACCCTAAATAAAACTGATGCTTTTACTCTCTGTAAGTTTCGGTGTAGATCACATAAATTACCTGTAAACAAAGGTCGGTTTGATGCGAACACACCACATTGTGATATGCAGTGCACACTCTGCCTGTCCACTGATATAGGAGATGAATTTCACTATATTTTTGTTTGTCCGTTTTTTCAAAGAGAGAGATTTTTATTTTTATCAAAAAAGTGTTGTAAGTCTAAGCTCCCAAGTGCTATGCACATGGCAGAACTTTTTAATACTAGAAGCACTTCTCAGTTGAAGAATTTAGCGAGATTTACCTGCCTTATTATGTTGAAATTTAATCAAAAAACAGAGAAAGAAGATAGTTCAAGCAGTTCAAGAAGTACAATTAGAGCTGAACCTACACGTACTCGTAGCGGTAGGATAGTGAAACAGCCTACTTTGTTTACTATTTAGCTTGTAAATAGACTGCATTATACTTATCCTTTTATTATTGTCAGTTTGTCACTATCTTCATTCATTGTACATGTACCTGTACATGTATATATAATTTGTGTTTACTAGTTGGTTCATTGTTCATGTTTGTACTTTCATACACTATATACCTATTATCGTTTTTATCTTTGTGTCATTATCTATGTATAATGTATGTGAATTGTATTCATAAGTCATGCATTGTTATTTATACTTTTATGTTTGTTTGTACTCTCATACCCCGAGAGGGGGTCAAAGAGTCAATAAAATTATAATTCTAAATTCTAAGAGAAGGTTTAGTTATGGTAAAGAGGGGATATTTTTTTTGAAAATTCTTGCTATTTTTTTAGGTTAGTTTAGAAGAATACAGTGATAGGAATTTCCTTTAACAAGGACTGCTCTCCACATTTCCACATTGAGCCAAACTTCACGCCACTGTGTAGCATGGGTGCGTGAGTGAGTTGTTGTGCGTGTGCTTTATGTGTGCTCTGTCCGTGTGTGTGCGTCTGTATGTTTGTGTGTGTGTGCGCGTTGATTGGTGAGTGTAATTTCCATCACACTTTTGACGATCGGAAAGCAGAGGTTTGGGATATAAGATAGAAATACAGCATAAAGACATTCATACTGAGTAGTGATTATCAAATCGTAATCATGATGCCACATTTCTTTCTTTCTGCAGGATGTGCAATATCTCTAGCCGACATGTTCGCCTTGGGGTATGGACCAGTACCAAACTCCTCCCAGCGTGATGAATTGCGACACAACCTGGGAATAGCCACGGACGATGACGACATCGTTGGCATGCTCAAACACTGGAAATCTATGGCCCATCCTCCAACCTACAATCCCAGAACCACCCTGGCCGATGCTGTTCTCCCCGTTCTTGGGAAAGAGAAGGCCTTGTCTGTCCTGTCAGGTACACAAATGTCCACGAATAGCAAGACCAAATCAAATGGAAATTTCTATTGATTCTTGCAAGTTAGAAAGAGATATTAAAAATCCTATTGGCCACTTATGAAGAATTATTTCCGAAAGAGAGTCAATTTGAAACAGTTTTCCCGCTTGATTCTTCATGTTGACAATCATTTGAAAGAACGTCGCTATTGTTTAAGTACTGAATTGAATTGAATTGAATTGAATTTTTTTGTCCATTCAGGAAATTCCTTTTTTCACTGGTTTTACAATCATTGTACATGTACATATTGAAATATGACATACACATTACAATAATCGCAAATGTATATCATCACAAACGAAATAACATTCTGAAAATAATGTTCTTATTACATGGGAAACGGAACAAGATTTTTTATTTTAAGATTATATGTTATATGAAAGTTTGTTTTGTATTGCAAACCAATATGCTATATGGATCTTTACGGCCAATGACCGAGGTCAATAGTATAATATCAGATAACTTAAAGACGCAGCTTGTCTCGATTGTTACTTACATTCTATCTTGTGCAAACTGGGAAGAAGGGCAACGACAATAATCCATGTTCACTTTCCCACTTCTTAATTAAATTCTACAGGAACATCGAGGCAAAGTGGGATTCATAGTGAGAAAATCATCAGGGCTCTCCGAGAGGGAATTCTGTTCAGAGAGACATGCCGTGTTGCTGAAATCATCAACGTCCTTCTCCCATCCGTTGACGATGATCCCATGACAAAGCTTCTTATCACCCTGGAGGACCAGGTGAAGAATGATTCGCTTCCTGAGGACGTCTACGAGAAGCTGAGTGTAGCGGGTTTCAAGGGATTATCAACAGAACTTAAGAGGGGTGAGAATGTACTGCCGAACTTTAAGGGGTGTTCAATTATGGCCTACTAAGACATCCGTATAACAGTGTAAAAAAGTAATAGCGTTGAAACCCATAAACTAAAAAAACACTTAAATATAAAAAAAGAATATAAATATCGACTATTTTGGAGCGCTAAAAATGAAAAGTTTTGGAACATTACAAAAGATAAGGAATCCATTTCAAATGACATAACTATAATGATGATCGCAAGGACTTTGTTCAAAGCAATTTAAGGGTAATTTCAATAACCCTGCTATATTGCCTTTGAAATGTTTATAATAAATGTATTAAACGTTATAGTCTCATTCCCAGAAATTGATATCTTGCATTTACCTATGCCCCGTTGTATACAATTTTGCACTGATTTTAAAAAGCACTTTAAGTACCATGGCAACATCACTCAAAAGCGAATCAAATCAAGGTTTCCATGGAAGTAACAATTAATAGCGAAGTTAAGTTTATGGAACGGAGGCCCTGGTCAGACCTGTTTCCTTTTTTAAGTGTATGCAGGAGGCCTCAAGGTTATTGCCGAAACTTGTCTCATAAACTAAGTTGATACGACATATGAAGACGTCAAGCACAATTTCTTCAGATTGAGATTTTAATCGAAATGATGACGGAATAATTGCCTTTAATTTTAAGGCGATTGCCAGGAGAACGAGCACGAAAGCACTCGGATGCGAAGAAGGGATATTATCCAAAATGACATATCATGCCGCATTGCCGAGGTACTTGGTGTAAAGAAGACATCTTCGCTCTCATCCATCTTTGAAGCTTGGGAAGAAAAATTGAGGAAAAACCCACTCAAGGAAGACAAACGCCGGGATTTGAGTGATCGACTCTTAAGAGCTGGATATGAAGACTTTGCCCACGAGATCATGACAGGTAAGACTACTGAAGATGAAGAACATGGACATGACTAATGTGGCGTTAGATGATGTGGATCATCATGCCATATGGGTTTTAATGTCAAGTTACATACCTGAATCTGGATCTAAATTCACTTTTACCAAGAGGGAAACATGTACCTGAGACTTAATTAATTTCTTAAACGCCATTTTGAACGAAAACTTAAACCCAGAGTTGGATATGAATATTGATACAACACGAGACAATACGATTAAGTGTGTGTGTGTGTGTGTGTGTGTGTGTGTGTGTGCGTGCGTGTGTGTGTGTGTGTAAGGGGGAGGGGCGGAAATTCCTACTACTGATGAGAAAAGATAAATTTGGACATCCATTACAAATCATCATCATGAATCTACCTCTAAAAAATGTCAAGCAACATAATATCACACTATGAAATTGCGTTTTGAAGTGCTACACTTATTATGATTCTGTATTTTAATCACAACTCATTTTTTTTGTAGGATTTGTTCCCAGACCACTGGATCAGAAGTGAGGGAAAAAACATATGCAAAAAGGAACAATCTTCGCATCTCCCATCCATCGATACTACTGCGATCTTGCGATTTTTTAGATTTAATCAATATTTTGGTACATCATTAGGGATACAAGTGTTTATAGTGGACAATCTTTCCTGTTATTTGATATGGATTCTTTGAATAATGGACAGGTTGTATTAAGGAAATTTTTATTAATATTACAGTTATACAACTTAATTAACATGGATAACAACGATATATATTGTTAACAACTGAATTATTCTTGCACCTTGTAAATGTGATTAGTTTGTCTTTGTTGTAACTCAAGAATGAAAGGTGGACCGCTTGAACTTTTAATCTTTAAATTGCCAAATTCTCAGGAAACATACATCGGGACAAATCAGTTTCTTAAAAGTCTTTAACAAATACAAAACTTTGAATGGGTATGATTAATTAATGTTCAAATCAAAATGTAAAAGCTACGACAACAAATAGATACAAAATATTCTAAAACCCCACTTCACATGTATAGTTAAGAAGCCTAGATAATATCACCATTTATCATGCTTATATCGAACTTTTCCTCTTGATTATAATATTATATTAGCAAATTATCATAACATGTATTACACAACTACATGTTGGGCAAGGGGCGGTTGCTTTGTCATGTTTGTGTAATAATAATGATAATAATGGCTGGAATTGTAATAATAGCGTCTTTTCCATAAACACGAGAGAAACACGATTATCAGAATAATTGCTTGACTGGTTGCTTTTATTCACAATACTTCTAAAATTAACGAAGCATAATAGTACATTTTACAAACATTTCTTTAAATGTAATACAAAGTTTTGATATGGGGTCATGAATTTGGTTCAAATGAAAATATTGGAAGCATATGCGATCCTACAATATTCAGTGATCGTTGTCGCGGTTGAAATCGACTCTGAAGTGATGATATTGTAAATAATAAGCTCTTTATGTTATATATGGTCGCAGCTACTATTGTATGGCCGTAGGCGCTATTTGATATTCAAGTTTCTAGAAAGCACAAGTGTTTTAAGGGCTAAAATCTCATCCACAGGGGCATCCAAATATATCAAAATTGTAAAGAATCACTATTCAGGCATTTTTCAAAATTTCCCAAAACTTTGTATAATCTTTAAGTAATATTAAAGTATACATCCTCAATTACAGAGATTACTGATAGGAAAGAATGTTCTGTAAATCATTGTATAGATTAGAACATGTAAACGACAACTAAAAAAAAACAAAACATTCTAAGTCTTAACACAGTATAAATATCGACATGGAATAGGGATGGGAATAAGCGTTAGATGAGTTTCACAGAAGTCTCTTGCACAAGAGTATACTAGCAATTGGAATATGAAAGAGCAGTATATACAGATTTTGTTTTCTTCCTTTGTTAACAGTTCGGTTGTTTCTTGAATTGACAAAAGTATTTGCAGTATATCTAGCGCTGGAATCAATTTAATAATTTTGAAGAATGTAGTAATCTATTCGATATACGAGTAACGGATTACAAACAAAGCCTTATCGCGAAACGTGCAATCCTTCGATATAAATATTAGAGCATGGACCAGTAGGTCCATTATAAGAGCCCCCATGACACAACCAGGGACTGACAGAGCTAGGCTCTGCTCAAGGCTTAAGGAATGTAAAGTGTAGTAAAGTGTCAAATTAAAGTATATTCCTGCAGACTGTTAGCTTTCCAAACAACTATAAACTTGAATGTAAAAGTGGCGATTACAAAATTGTATGGAATTCCTTATTACGTTCATGTATGCTTAAACTAGAAAAGCCATATTCATAATTATGTAAGATACTATCAAAGTTATACGATTGTCAACTTTCAAAGTAGCAGACCCCGATATAACTTCCGTTATGTGAAATATATAGCTTTGTTTTGCCTCCAATTTGTTTTGGTCAGATTTCTCTGAATTGTTGTTGGTGTTGTTTTTATTTCCAAAATCAGATACAAATATTATACATAGTAAAATATACAAAATGAAATATGTATACATGTACATAGACAAAAGTCGGTGGAAAGCCCAATTCAGCAGTGTTTATAGAACACTACTGTTCTTCCTTGGGGCCCTTACACTACAATATGAACATAAAAGCGACATATAGCAGAACAGAAACAAAACATAAATACAAGTTGTTTTAAAATACCAAAGTGACAAAAAATTCTAAAATAATATCATACGCGTACACACCCACACACCCACAAACACACACACACACACACACACGCAAGGTTATGCAAAAATCATTTGAATTTTAGGAAGTGTGTTAAGAAAAATTGTCAGTTATTAGGGTATGGAAGGATCTCAATGTAGTTACATTTCGGATGTATTCTGGTAGTTCGTTATATTGCGTCGCTCCCCTTTAGAAGATAAAGGGATCAGGTAACTTTGTCTCAGATTCTAAAACAAAATCCTGGATTAGTCTCATGTTGCAATGATAATCATAAACCTTTAGGTCAGTCAGAAACTCCATGACTTTTACAAGCCGATCGCCTGTCTGATTATCAAGATATTTATGATTGGAAATCGAAACCAAATTTTGCGTTTGCCAAACGGTTTTCTTAACACTACAGTCTACTGGGCAAAACGATTTTAAAACTTTTTTGAGGCACTTCTTGATCATTTTCAAGCGCGGTTTTGTTAGGGCTTCAATAGTACACCATATAACATACACAGATATGGCTTAGGACCGTGCATTTCAGATTTAACATTGTTAAACGAGGCCTTTAAAGAATTAATAAATTAATTTATTTCTTATATTTTGATAGGGTGGCTCATTATCACCAATAATGGTAGTCTTTCATGAGGCCTTGTTAAACAAAATAAGAAGCAATAGTTAACAAAAGAAAAAAGAAACAAATAATAATAATAATAATAACTAAATCATGAACATAAAATCATATCAAACAGCAGCAAATAATAAGTACGAACATGTATAAACGTATATGCAAATTATTTGGTATCCTTGTAATGAATGAATGGTTTGTTTGTTTTGTTTTGCTTTTTCGTTTAAGGAAACGTTGCTGCATATTTATAATATCTTAATATAACATTATAATATAGACGGTAATTATTATTTTTTTTAATCGGATGAAAGGTAACTATTAGCATATTTCGGTATGTATCAGATTAAGAAAGACATTATTAGGTATATCAAAATTGTTATATACATATTTACAGACAAAAATAGGACAGGATAATAAATTACTGGATAATATGCAAAATTAATACATGTAATCTAGTATAGCAGTTGAATGTGAACTCTTAAATAACAATAAAAATACACATTTATTCATAACTGATAATACATTTTAAGAACGAGTAATAAGAAGTCATCAAAACTAAGCAGCTGTAAATACGGTCGCAACTATTTAAAAGATAATCAACTTAGTTGCAATGTCAATACCCTACTGTACATCCCATAGGAAACATAACCAGATTCCGTAATACGTCATTGTCTTTTTCGCGCTTTTAAATAGGTGCCTCACAAGGATACTGAAATTATGTATGGTTGAATTTTCGGAAGTAGTTGCTATCTTTTTATAATTTTTTGTCTCTTTCTCATTTAAAAAATCAAACAAAAATGAATGGTCGGTGTGGAATGGCCTTAGCTTATAAAGGCAGTGTATATACATGTATGGCTATATTCGTGTTTTAGCATTCCTTAAAGCTATTTACAATTGAATCCACAGGAGATCATAGATGGACTGTCTCTCATGTGCATCGTTTGACAAAAGGAGAACCAAATTACACTGTAAAAACACAAATAACGTGTTCCATTTTTAATTACTTTTTGCTACTCTATCTGTACAAAGCTTTACAGTATTAAAGTGTCATGGTTATATTTAACAGATTATTGATAAAATAACAACAAATGTTAGTGCAGCAACCTTTGATGTTCAACTCTGTGTGCAGAGTCGAGTCAGGCGAAATGATTAAGTAGTATTACTATGCACTTATTTAATTAAAGCATTACATCTGGCATGCATATAAAGTTTTGTCGCTGAATTATTGATTCAATGCAATCCGTCGTGCCCATAAATTGAAGGCCAACACCGGGTATTAAGCATTCCTTGTTGGTCAATTCAAGTTTACTTTTGAGTTTAGTTTTGATATATTAATCCACACAATGTTAATTCTCATTAATTCCATTTGTTACTCATTAAGATTATCAACAAAGTCAGGTTCACGTCGGCTTAAATATACATAATTGTTTGGAAGATAGGTAAGTTTTATATGAAATTACAGAATGGTACATTATTTTTGAAGACGGCTGTCAAATTAAAAATGGCCGTCGGTTTTATTTAAGATGTGACTATTTGCATTTACAAGTTTTCAGAGATTATTTATGCTTATACCGTAGTATAAAGATATAATTTGGTATGTCAAACGTTTTAGAATACAAAACAGGTCAGTGTATAATATGTTAACAACTTTCATTTATCATTGTAGAACTTAACATGAACGAAATACATGAATATAATGATAAAGCATATACAAATCTTCCTTTTTTCTTGCTTTCATTCCAAAGCATACAATAATCAAATGTTTTAACACAATATTTTCATCTTGTTCACGCCCATGGCTTTGTTTAAAGAAAAGACAATGACTCGAAGGTATAGCCTTAACATCGTAAGATTTTAAGATTCCAATAAAGTGCATAACAATATCAAAAGCAATTAATAAAGAATAAGAAATAATACAGCCTTCAGCATATAAACTCTTCCCTACCACATTAGATTTTTCAATGCCAAAACGCATAAATTGTGCTATGCAAAAGCCGTTTAACACTTCAAATTGTGCCCTACCAATAATTGAATTAAATAAAAGGTAAATAAATCCTTTTTGCACATACATATATTTTGGACATTTTTCTTATTTAAATTTAATTTTTTCCGGGGTGTGGGGAGTTATTTAGATCTCCATTTTCACATCTTTAATTCATTTAAAATACTTCAATTTTGACTTACAATAATTAAAACCTTCTAACTCGTTGCCAGCGATTCAGTGATTTCATTAATTTTCATATTCACACAATATTGATATCATTATAATGGGCACCTAAAGAACTTGCGTGCATTTTAAACAAGGTAGATCAATGATATTATTTCATATAATTGGTTACGAAGAAACGTATGATGCGGCACCGTATTTAAAAAAAAGAATGGGCACAAACAAAACAATGGCAAGTTTTATTCAGCATTAACGTCGTTATCTCCATACCAAATGTCATGCTATTATCAACATAACATTTTTTAAAGTGCACAATTCCTACCATATTCAGCAGCATTCTCCTGGACTATTCATTCTCTTCTGGGGGGTATTTAGGAAGAAAATATATCTTCTTCGAGATCCCTTGTTTAATAACTTCTGGAGTTTTATCATATTTATGGTTGAAGGTATTCTTCCCGACTTTTCGTGTTACCTGTAGAAAGAAAATAGAGTTGGTGCATTATGAAAGGAGAGGATAAGTGCAGATAGGTCTAATATTAAATTTATCATTAAACTTATCATAATAATATATACATTAATTGATTTTAATACTAACATAATTCAGACAAATCCAAAGTTGATTTTCGTCCAGAACTGAAATAGCGGATTGTCACTAATACTGGACCAGCCAGAGGATTAATAATGTTATTGGAAAGATTGAGAAAAACTAAAAAAGAAATTTGCATTAAATGACATGTCATGTCCCCTTTCGCTATATCGCTATAACACATGATGACACATGTATACGCCCTCTGTCAGCAGGGCTGGGCAAATACTAGTTGGTGTGTAACAGAAAGTCAACATTGTTCCTCACTTATCAAAAGAGTTAAGATGTTAAAGTGTTGACGTTGTTCGCATTGGCGGTTGCATGCATGTGGGCGTGTTGTCGAGTGTGCGTGTGGTCGTGTGTGCGTGAGTTTTTTTTTTTAACTTAATAGTCCGTAATTTATATACTCTACTGCTTGAAAAAACTTACCTGCTCTAACATGGTAGACAAGTCACTGACATGGGCATTCTTAAGGAGTTCCTTACATAGCATCTGAATGAACCTTGAACCACGGATTACGCTTCTATCTGGAACGTTTCCTGCGAAAATCGTTAGGAAACGTTAGCTGTTTATGATAATATCCTGCATGTTCAGATAAGGCGCATTTACAGAAGCCCTAAACTTAGGAATCACGTGGCTGATCGAAATACATCCTTTATCTTTTTTGTTTTATTGAAGAAACTTTTTGTGTAATGAAACTAAAGACAAAACGGAGTAAAAATCAAACAAGCCTTATAATGAACTGGAATCAAGATAAATAACTTCCCGCTATGTATTAGAAAGGATTCTACCATAGTGGCAGATGACTCTTCATTTAAAATGTAACTTAAAATAAAGGAGGAGTCGAGGGGTAGTGGTTCGTTCACTTCACTCTCAACCCAAGGGTTGAGGATTCAAATCCCATCCCGTTGCTAACGTCCTTTGGCAAGACATTAATTAAATCTCCACCCCCACCCAGGTCTGAAATGGGAACACAGTAGGATGGTACAATCAGGAAGATGTAAGAGAATTCCTGGTAAAATGTTTGAAGTTATCTAAGTACAGTGAGCGTCTATAATAATAATAATAAAAATAATAATATGGATATTTATAAAGCGCCGGTATCATTGCACCTGGATGGAATGCTCTCCAAGTTCCAGGGCGTGGAGAATGTACAAATATTGTTTGCGGAAAAGCCTGAATCCAAAGACTTGTGTAATAAATACAAGATATATGAACCGCTAAAATAAATCGTCGTTGCATGGTATTCAAACCCTGAATTCAAATATTACTATTATTATTAGTATTATAATTATTATTGATAGTAATGATAATAACACTCACCATTTATTAGGCGCTAAATACGGTTGTTCTAAGCGCACCATTGTCTGTCTACAAATTACCATTCAAAACCTCTAATGAACATGCATATGTAATGATAAAACAATAATATCATTATCATTATAAATATTACAATCTATATTATTATCAAACTTCTTACCCGATGTTGTAGAATGGACAACGAGAAGGTCGGATGCGTCTGATATTTCCATGTCGATGTCAGCTTCAGTTTCTTCCTTTGCTTCTGCATAGGTATAATGACATGGTAAGGAAAAATATTATGGTGGAAAAACCACGGATGTGTGCATTTATTTGAATGGTGATTCAAGTATGATGGCGGGACCATAAGCTACACACTTTCTTTTCAAACGCTAAAGGCTTGTTTAGATTAGACGTGGGAAAATCACAGCCTTTTTGTTGTTGTTATGATGACGTAAATTGTCACAAGCTTTAATTTATGTATTTTATAGCTTCTCTGTTGCGCGCAGTTGCCATTCGTTTTTCCCGTTTAATAGAAAAAGAAAATGTAAAAGAAAAAGGCAGCGGCTGTTTTTCATTGAGTGTATATGCAGGCTGCAGAGCTAATGGACCCACGTAGCTCAAGAACACCTTGGCCATGCACCATATTTGTGTTTTCAAGAAGAACGTATTTATTTCCAAATTTTAATCCCATTAAACATATGAAGAACGGTAGGAAAGAATTCCTAAAATGCTGTCAGGAATCGAACTGAACACCTTGTCGTTATTGTGGTCAATTAAAAATGGATCCCTGAATATTAGCGACAATCTGTATAAGCCTAAAGAAAATGAAAACAAGTGAGTGAGCCTTTTGAACAAAACGAATATGTGACGTACGGATTCGGAAGATGAGATTTATGGGACGCTTGATACAGGAAGAACACTTGGAAACCCTTGCAAATGACAGGAAAATCAAGGGAAAGAGGGCTCGAGAAAGCAAAGGATAAGAAGATGAGTGGTTTGGTTAGAAAGTTCGGAAAATTGCTGGAGAAGAGAGAATTGAAAGACCCGGGAATGAAGCACCTTGTTAGTATAATAGAAACACAGTGATGAACAAATACCATGATCGCATCATTCGATAAATATTGACACCTTCTGAGAGAGGGAAGGGGGTATGGGAGCATGGGACATTTATATAAAGTTAAAGACATACACTGTGAAAAGGTTGGGCAATATTTTCCATCACTCTGCCCAACGTTGTGCCAATAGCCAACCCAACCATCTATTGGGTAATATTCTGGCCAGTGGTATTGATAAACTTAAGTACATGCATAATTGTTTCGTATTTTGCCCGACAGGAGGTCAAGATTTTCCCAACCAGTAGGCTACCTTAGTCGTGCAGTTGAAGGGTCATATCTTTGCCCACATTTTGGACAAAATACGAAACAATTATAGACGTGTGAAGTAGGGTACTTACGTTTACCAATACCACTAGGCAAAATATTGCCCAATAGATGGTTGGATTGACACTTGGCACAACGTTGGGCAAAGTGTGGGAAATATATTGCCCAACCTATCCACAGTGTAGACACTTACTTTCACGGTTACCCTGGAAGAAAATCATCTTCGGTTTTCCTTTCATGTACTTCATCCTAGAAACCTTATTCTCGATAAACTTATAAGTAACCGGTTCATCAGTGCAATGAATGCCTGTCGAGGAGCCGTTTCCCATGATCACGAACACTGCAGAGGGCATGTAGTGATGGCGAGCATAACCCGCGAACGTCTCTAGCTTGTCTTGAAGGTCCTGCATAACCATTCACGAAAACAAAGCGTTTAATAGTCATTGAAGTTTAGATTTAATTTGAAGTTTAGATTTAATTTAAAGGGAACCAAAACCCTTCATACTTAGTTACTTTTATTGTAAAGTTTAAGATATTTGAATACAATCAGTGAAAATTTGAACAAAATCGGGCAAGGAATAAGGAAGTTAAAGCTTTTTGACATAACTAGTTACTAGAGGGCGATATTTAATTTGATGACATCATTTGTGGACAACTCTCCATGCCTTTTGTACATCAAATTTCACAATTCTTTCGATTTCTTCGTATTTATTTGTGTTCTTGATCCGACTTCTTAACATGTGAAGTAGAATATCATTTTGCATTCTATACCTTGCTTTCCGGGGAGTAGATTATCTCAACAACAAGAAGGAAGGAACAACATGAAATTTGATGTAAAAGAGGCATGATAATTTGATTTATTCGTGATGAATACGATTATATTATATCCTCACAGAGGTTTATTCATGAATCTTTATTGAGCAATTTTTATTGATCGATTAAGTTCTGAAAGTACAAAAACTCTTTGTAACAGTAGTACATCTTATTGTCAAAATCATTTAATGACGAGAGGTTATAACGATTTATTCCAACTTTGTGGGAAACAGTGATCAACTACTTGACACCATCAATTCCAATTGCATTATTGTTTGCATATGGAGATGGAGAACTATGGTTCGGATAGAAAATCCAATTTTATGACAAAACAAATTTGAGGCTAAATAAGATTTTAAGTTGTTTCTGTTTCACGTTGCTAAGTTATATTATTAACAATAAAAGGCCATTAGATTAATAAAAAACATGCTCTTACCTCAGCTGTCAAATCCGAATGGGTTTCGATCTCATATCCTATTTCCGTGAACACGTGTTGAATATTTCGAACGTCGACATCTGATCCCTTCCTGTCTTTAGTCATGTTAAAAAGGAACATGAGACCCTTTTCTTTATCGTCCATTTTGTAATTCTGAAATCGACAAAATATTTTTGAATTTATATATCACTGTAATATATAAAAAGTTATGTTTAACTAATTTCCTTTAACATTGATCAATTTTCAGCAAATAGTGTTCACATAATTGATTACAGAATTTATCGTTATCTTAACAAGTCCTGTGCTGATCGTAGTACACAGTCTATAACGGAGGTTTAAACCTCGACTAAGCTTGCTGGGATGTTTAACTCATCAATGGAGTACATATTGTGAAGCACACAATCCCTTAAGCACTGCCACAATTCTGTAAATCAATGAACTAACCTTATTGGCCATTATGATATAAATATTTTATTTCATGACTACATTCATTTCAGATTTTTGTAACGGAAATTTGAGTTAAATGTTTCACTTTAACAAAAACAAGTAATTTGAAGAGTCATAGACAAAGCCCGGGGAACCAGGGCGTCACGCCCCTCCTTGTTTATCCGGTTACATTTGTTCTCAAAAAGTTGGTCATCAGCTGTGTGATTACAACTGTGTGACTCCGTGATTTGTTTTCAAACTACAGGTATTAAAAAAAACGACAAGGAACGGAAATCGTCATGGCCCTGCAATTATCTTTACTTTTGAGAAAAGGGTACAAGACTAGCATGACTTGAGCAACATAATGGGTCAGGGTCTGGTAGGCAATACATTACCTTATTTCAAAATTTGAAAATTCATGTCGATTTGAGGTTTGGGGAAATGACACCTCAATCTTTAGAAATATGGTTTGTTGAACTTGTTATCAATTCAATGTCCTTGTATCAAATATGAGGTTATTCAGTTCTCGTTAATGGGAATGAATTATATCTATTCGGTTTAGTTTCATACATTGTCAGGCAATATTTTTAGAAACCTTTTCTGGGTCCAGCTGCTCCTGAGAAGGGTAAGCTTGCTTCATCGTCTGTTTGTAGAAACCGTTGCTGTCAGGCTTAACTGTGAATTTGAATACATACAGAAGTATACTTGTATATGAATACTTTGAAGAACGGCTATAATGGCAAATGCGTTAAATCTCAATTTTACACACTGAGTAAGAAATTTGGACGTGTGAAACTATGTGGAGTAAACGGCAATAGATCCTAGAAGAGACGGATATCTTGGATGGACAAGTAATCATCATTATAATTTTTGACGCCTATCAATATGTTAACTTACGAAATCACTGCAAATTCTATTCAACCGCCAATTCGGGTCACGTCATTATAAAGACATCGAGAGTTGTGTGGTCGAATATAATTTGGGACTGATAAATAGTCAAATTTCTTTTGAATTGAGAAATTTTGCATCCAAGTCCATTTTAAAAACAAGTGATGAATTAAAAACTCTTACGATTGTATATTGACAATATGTCCAAAATTATTTTAATAGCTTATGTTTTTTTAAAAATGATTTGAAAGGCAATCTAAATGTTTATCCTGCATAACGCACGTACCTGCTTTATGACCTTCCTCTCTCATCGTTTGAATATCAGTTCATTGCATAATTGATTAATCAAGGGTGTGTGTGTGTTTGTGCGCGTGTTTTTGGTGCATGTGTGTGGTTGTGTGTGTATCTGCAAACAAAAGAAATTACATTTTTAATTTTGTTCATGATAGATAAATGTAAGGATTTACCTTTTACTTGTAGTTGCATGGATTCTGGGTCGCCTTCTCCTGTACGTTAAGAAAAGTTTTAAAGGAAAATAGCCTTAGAAATTCGCGGTGAAAAGTATATTTGATCTTAGTCCATGTAAAGGGCATTGAAAGTATGATATGATGCGTTATATAAATGAAACATTCTTTGTCATTTTTATTTGCCATAGAGTTTCAAGACAATTCTCTTTGGTGTATTCATTTTTATAGCATTATTATTTCGGTGCTCGTTGACCTTTACGTATGTCATTTATTTGTTGGTCTTTTGATAAGCAAATTAGGCTTTAATCTAATCATATTACCCCAAAACATTTAAAAATTATATTTTCTTTCAAAGTTTCGAATCAGATTCTATTTCGTGATGATCAAAGGCTCACCAAATACATCGTAACAGAATAGTATATTTCTTTATGTATTTGAGCGTCTTTGCCACATCAAATTACACTGTAGTCAGAGAAAAATAAAAAAATATGACTCCATAACAAATAAATATTTTCATTCGTTTTCTTCTGTGAGGTATTTTCTTTTCGTTGAAGGACTGATGATGATGAGTGTTCATAACTCAACCTAGTGATGACGAGCCATCAATATAAAATTACCTTGAATCCTCCGATGTTTCTTCCGACTCTAAAATATGTTGGCAGCACACACCCTATTTACTTCATTGATGTGTTTGGCTTTTGATAAAGAAATCTGAAACTATTGATAGTACCCCATAACATTTTAACGTGATACTTTCTTTCAAAGTTGTTTTGTTTCAGATTCTATTCCGTAAAGATCAAAGGTTTACCAAAAACAAGGTATCATATTAAGATATAACTGCACCCATTCAAACATCATCGCCATAATAAATAACATCGTAGTCATAGAAAAATCGGAAATATAACTCTATACAAATAAAACCTTGTCCATTCGTTTTGCACTACGAGATATTTTCTTTTCTTTCCAATACTGACTATGATAAGTGTTCATAACTCAACCCAAGGATGACGAGCCATATATATATATATAAACATACCTTGACTCCTCCGTTGGCTCCTCCTACGCCATAATACTGCACAACAAATCGCAGCCAGTATAAGAATGATAACGATAACTACTGGTACAACTGCAAATAGATTAAAGAATATCGTCAACGAATCAAACTTGTCGTCGATCACTTTTCTGTTAGACTCGAAATACTTAAATGTTAAATCACCATTTCGATCAAATAAGATTAACACTCTTTAACATTCTGGATCCTACAGCATAAATGTTGATTCTACACGTAGACATAACATGGTTAAAGTATTGATCTGACATTTTTTTTAAAAAGTGGTCAATCCTCAGCCATTTAAAATTGTGATTTCACACTACAGTTTTCAGAGTGCATGATTAGCAGTTAAAAGTACATTTAACTTTTTCTTATACGGTAAAACCCGCTCAGTCATATGTCATCTGGATTGAATGTGAAATTAAGTTTAAAGTATAACATCCAACATTTGTGCGGATACTGTTTACTGATACCACAGGTGACAGCAGTTTTACATTGTTTATCAACTGTCGAATACTGGTCGAATAAAAATACAACAAAGACATTTCGTCTTGAATTCTTACCAACTCCACTCAGAGATAAAGTGGTAGATCCTATAAAGATCACGGTCACAGTCACTGTTTTTTGGTCTTGCGATCCCGGGATATCAGAAGCGACACAAACATAGGGACTTTCACTCGGTTCAGCGACGATGGAGATTGACTTGCTTTTCGTCCCGTCCATGTTAACATCTTCCTTGACATTAGTTGCATCCATCTTGTTGGATCCGTGTGAGAAGAAAAGATCGATGTCTGGAAAGTAGCTTGAGGCTGAGCAGGTGATGGTGATGTTATCAGAGGTTAAAAGAGTACAGGTTTGTTCGGCATCGTTTGGAAGTATTCCTCGACATTCATCGATAAGGGGAAAGGGTTCCATCGGAGGAGCTGAAAATGAAATAGTACACTATGACTCTATCAAGGAAAATCATCATGTCTTCATGTAGGAGAACTGTCATGTAACACACAAAGCTATTTCTTTCAATTTAAATTTTCAGCTTGAATATATAACAATAACTATTAATATAAAGGTAAATAATGTAGTATATAAATAATGAATTTTTTCTTCCATCTTTTTACATTCAACAACTATTATGATAGCATGTAGGGGTAGTGTTACTATAAATCATGGATATAATTATGGAATAACCTTCTTTAGGGTTATTTCTCAGTCATACTTCAAAATGTACACAGAATGATATGCTTACCAAAGACGTTTACTTCTGTGAAATTGTGGATCAGGATCCCTTCGTAGTTTGTTACTATGCATGTATATGTTCCTTGATCTGAAACTGTAATGTTTCTGATGATGAGAGAGAAGTCATCGTTTATATAGCAGACCCCGTCAAGAACGCATGTCCCGGAAGTGGATCCCCCTTCCACCCATTTGATCAGGTTGGATGGCCTCGTGGACTCACCTCCTATCGTCCAGTTAACGGAAGATGGCGCTCCATAGAATTCGCATTTTAGAGCAAGCTCATCTCCTTTCTCCGCATTTTTTTGTAAGTCGGTATACACAAAACCATCTGGTATATCACAATTCACACCTGCATTAAAAAGGAGGAAATAAGTGGTTTGTTTAATTCGTGACGCAATAATGTTATTCCATAAAGGCAACAGATAGCTTACTTGCAAAGAAACAGCATCTGGAAATCTATTAGCAATGACACCTTACAGTACCAACATATTATAAACGCATCATGTTGTGTAGCAGAACCGTAACAAATACCGTGATATACGAATATATTCTAAAGCTAGATATAATCGCAATGAAATTTTTTGTCATTGCATTGTTTTCGTTTACATTCTTCTATATTAATATTCTTCTTCTGGTTCTTGTTCTCGTCCGGAAATCTCATTCGTTTTGCACGTAGTGCTTGTTATTCTCTAGTTATTTCCTTTCCACAAGCCAGATTCCTTTCAAACTTCGTAGGCATAATTCCTGATATGCAATCTATGTCACTTCATTATTTCCCCCCAAAATCACTCATGCGTAACAATCCAGACGTCCAGTTGTTCGTTTCTTGTCCGTTTTAAGGCCTTTCTTTCTTCCTTCCTATCTTCACTAGCCTAGATCCTACAGACTTTTAACATATTCCTCTAGATCGTCCGAGAGATTTTTTTTCATCTGCGATGTATAACCTCAACTTTAAAATGCCAACTTCATACTCGATTTTCAAATCCGGAACCTACTCCATCAAAAATCTCTAAAATTCTTGAAAAATGGACGCCTAAAAATCTAAAATTGTCACAACTTTCTCATACCAATTCCGTTTCCTCTCAATTTCTCACAGTATCCTTATCTTATAATTGTACATAACCATGCCATATTTCATGCTCAAATGGCTATGCAAAAAAAGAAGAAGCGCCCTTTAAAATTCAGGGAATTTGCTTTCTTTCTGTGGCCGTAGCTCTATCGTGTCCGGCCAAACCCGTGCCCTTTTTTTGGATATAGAAACTAATATGACGTCACACGTATGACGTCACACGTATAGCAGTCCACTATTTCTGCGTACAAATCTAAAAGTCCCTAATACTGCTTCTTTTAGGGCGGTTACTTATGCCGCCATGACTGGTTTAGATAGCAACGCTTCTTTTATACGTGTTTCAATGGCACATTGTCAAGTTCTATTGTTCCTGTTTCAGTCGACTGACCAGTTGGTTTATTAGGACAGGGAGGGTTCTGATAGCCCCCCCCCCCCTGCTTCGACCACCTGTTCGAAGTGACTCCTCGTGTCCTTCATTGGAATTCATGGTGGCTATTTTATCGACAAATTTTGTTAAATAATTAGGTGGAATAATCGATTTAATTACCTTTCAATCGTCCCATCACTATGACAATTTGTTTAAAAACAATGTGGCGAAAATATATCGAGCCACGAAGTCCAATAAAAGAGTAATTTTAGTCGTAATATATACTGTGGTTATTACGATGATAATAGCTGTTCTATGATAATTATATACATGCGGCTGATAACTTGCATCTCAATTAGAGTAGTCACATGAGTAGACACATGAAGTATCATGACATGCAATGCACCTGCATACATCGGGCCGCCTTTTCTATTAACGGTACGACAATGATCTGAATTTCATTTCACCAAAGCATGAAGTCAACAGCAAACAATGCAGTTGGAGTTACCGTGTAGAGGTGAGCATCATTAGGGAGGATCAAAACCAAAGCCCCCAAGGATAGTGAAACACTCTGCACTTAATAATAATTACAAATACTATTTATAAGAATCTATGATAAGAATCGACATATTTATTGGTATATAATGGTGTTATATTTTTAATCGCAGAATGTGGAGCACCAGGATATGAAATGCTGAAACGGATATCTCAAGACCAAGTTACTTGGAGAGACACTTGATGTAGAATTCTGTTTGGGTCACTGAACCTGTCATACTGACAGATCACCATTGATGATGATATTACATATTTTTTTTTTCCTGAGAGCAAAGAAATAAGATATAGCATACCTTATTATTGATGTAAACGGCTTTAAATAAAGTAGTACACCCCGTTTATACGAAGGAGGTTGGTTGAAAAACGGTCAGGGAAATACAAACATAATACTTGTGAAATTTATTAGGAATATCCATTGTTGTCGTCGTGTTTTTGGCTGTTTTCGACAGTAGTTTCGACTGTTTCTGTATACTGCTTGCCAACTTCTATGCCCGGGCCATTATTATAATCATTATTAGTATTTATAACGATTTTGTGACTTCAGTATTTAAACGCCAATTAGTAGTGCTCTCACTTTCCATATAAATCTTTAAAGAGATAAAATCTGACATAATTAACATGTTTCAAGGATATAATTTAAAACAAAATCTATGTTTAACCACAATTACACACGGATAGCTGAACATCTCGCAAATAAGCAGATTTTCCCCGAAATAAAAGGTGATGAATCTACTGTTGAATGATTATGTTGAGTTTAAATATGTACATCTTATTTTAATAGAGCAAGAGTGATCCAGTATACATGCAGTTATCAACTAAATTATTCATAACCTTACCAAGCTTATGTAATTTATGAAGTTCTTGATAAAATGTTTAAATTCAGATCTAAGTTTTTTTTGAGAGTGTGAAATATTAAAGCTCATATCGTATTGTATTCAACAGAGGTCTTTATTCAACCAGCCCACCTTTTATTATTTAGTAATGAAAAACACACAAACGGAAATAATTTCAAGGGGTAAGACTATTTGTTAGTCTGTTAATATTTCGCTCTTATACAAATATCTTTGTAAACCTTCTGAAGTTTTAATTGATTTCCATTTGTGCAAGTAAACATAAGAAATAACATGTTGTATCGTGTGCTAATAGCCAAAAGTTAGCTGGAGTATACTCTATAAATAAATACTCTTCTAACTCTTCACAGACCGTGAAAAACAAGACATTGAATATGAATATAATCCAAACAGAGCCGTCCCACATTGCATTCAAACACAAACATAATGGAGAAGGTGAATAAATAATATCGCAGATTATGAGTAGAAAGAATGAGAGGGATATACAGAGTGAGTCAGAAAAAAATGTCCCACTTTTCAAAAGTTGTATTGTTTGAAGTATGAATATTTAATCATGGGTTTCATGATATGTCTTGATAAAGTTATCCTTCCAGTACATTTAGGTATACCATTTTCATTTGAATCTCTGCATGCATGATTGAACATCAGACAATCTTCACAAGACTGCCAGATCTCACTTGCGCCAAGTTGCTAGGTGAGGAATAAAAATTGTTTTGAACAAAGACAGCCAGACAGACACAAACACACACACACACACACACACACACACACACACAACACCACACACACACGCACACAAATATGCACACGCACTCAAACACACGCACATCCACACAACAACAAAAGACATAGCCAACGATTGATAATGTACTTACGTAATGCGATAGCACATTGGATTCATGAGCACTTCATGTTGATGATGATGATAATGATAACGATTAAGATGATAACGATTAAGATGATGACAATGATGATGATGATGATGATATGATGGTGGTAGCGGGAAAGATTGTCAGGGCAATGCCACTTAAACATTCAGCGATCTTGATAAAAATGAATGCTTAAACAGAAAAGGGGAAATTATGAAACAATTGTTACCGTGTGTTTTGTGTGTGTGCGTGTGGGTGAGTGTGTGTGTGCGCGCGTGTGTGTTGCGTGCGTGTGTTTGTGCATGTGTGTGTCTGTCTGTCTGACTACCTTTGTTCAATGCACTGTTTTATTCCTCACCCAGTATCTTCGCGCAAGTGAGATCTGTCAGTCTTGTAAAGATTGTCTGATGTTCAGTCATGCATGCAGAGATTCAAATGAAAATGGTACCTAAATGTACTAGAAGGATAACTCTATCAAGATATTTCATGAAACCCATGAGTAAATATTCATACTTCAAACAATACAACTTTTAAAAAGTGATACATTTTTTTCTGGCTCACTCTGTAGATGTACAATCATGGAACACTTTTGTACAAGCATGGTTATGCCAGACATGTGTCTAACTTGCATTATTACTTTTGATCGTATATTGATTCCCAGGTACCTTCTTTTTATGAATACAACATAATATGGTCCGTTTGATCAGATACCTCCAGTATGTATTGTCTTCCTGGGCCTCATCCGATGCTTCATAAAAGCGTTTAGAATTTACCTTGCGAAGACCACAAGGGTACAAAAGACTTGTTTGTTGTTGGTACAATTGAAAGCAGTTCATAAAAGTGAAGTAGTCGAACAGGTAGATTACCTCGGAGCCGCCCACTCGGTTTGGTACAACGTCTATGTTCTTAACCTACAGAATGCATTTCACATGCTCTAGTAGGCGGAGACAAACAAAAATTATCGCTCATTTTATTGTTATATTAGGCTGTGCATCGCTTGTCTCCCACGCTCAAACAAGATCATTTGTCAAAATTGAATGCAGATCATGTGAGTGAAGGAAATGTAGAAGCGCGTCAGATGATGACAATGAACTGGTAGTTGTTTTATTTTTTCAAAACATATGCAAATAAAGGATATCTATTTCTGACTATCTCTCTCTCTCTCTCGAACGTTAAAAGCAATATCTTTTACTGGGTATTATATGTATCTGAATATAGTCCGACCTTACTAGAATAGTCTGGGACCGTTTGATTATGGTTTTATATTTAATGAAGTGAGAACGAAGCCTACTTTCAGATTTAAAGGGACTTGGTAGCATATTTGAGAGAAAATGGTGCTAAGGTAGTGACTTCAATGCTAGATGTACAATTAAAGATAATCTGAAAGTTTGAGTGATGTATTCATGGATTTCAGCAAAGCATTAATTTGACACTCTTTAAAATTCAATTCTTATACGTTGATTGGAATATCATGGATTGAGGGATTTTGCAATAATACAGTTTAAACATTATTTTACAATTATAAAGCAATACGTATATTATGTTTCAAGTGAATCAAAATTAACGTCCATAGAATGCGAGGTACCATGGTTAAATCCTTGGCTCGTTGTTATATTTGATATACGTAAATGCTATCTG